ATGGCACATAACAACAACAATCTAATTGTGCTCTATTATACATAGGATTTCCGAAGACCTGTTATTTCACAAGTGGATGGTCAATCCTTCTTTGTCTGTCTTTTGGTTCTTCGCTTTAGAGCACTATCTGACAAATAAGCCTTCTCACCAAAAGAACAGATGAGAGATCTTCCCCATTACATAGCTAATAGATTCAGGGTTCCCCTGCCTTTTTTGCAGGTGCCATGGTCCCACCCTCCACACTTGCCCCATCAGCATACCACTTCATTCTCTTGCTTTGCGGGGCCAACAGCTCCATCCCCCCTCCCCCCAACTAACCCAATGTGACGGACGCCTCAGGTCTCTGGTCACCCAGTGGCCTGGCACCCATTTCCAAGACCAAAATCAGAGACCCCCAGCCTCACCACTCCCTGGCCCCACAGCTCTGCATACCCATACCCACCATCCTGACAAGATGATCTGTCCAGCCGTCCAGAAGACCTTCCCGGCATGCCAGCGTCACTGGGGAGTAGGGTGTTAATGAGCTGGCAGAAGTGCCTATGTGTGGCCAGGTGGCAAGGAGTGCACTGCAATCCTGAACACATGTGGTTCGAGGCCACCAGCTGCTCTGTGGGATAAAGACAGACAATATTCTCCTAAGTGATTAACTGCTTCTTAAAACCCAGCGGAGGATCAGCTATGAGTCGGATCTGACTCGACAGTATACAACAACAACAACAACAGCAACATATACATAGTAGTTGTTGTGTGCCATCAAGAAGGAACCAACCCATAACTGACTCTCCAGCTGGTTTTAAGAGGCAGTAAATTGCATGAGAGGAAATTACCCATCCATCTCCCATGGAGCAGCTAGTTGGTTCAAACCATGTTCCTTTGGGTTGGCAACATGATTTAACACTAGGCCACCAGAGCTCCATGTGTAACTGTATAGCAATATATCAGTATCTATCCATCTATCTTCTAGCTTTTCTTGGCTTTTAGCTGGAAGTCAGGTGTGAAGTAAGCTAATACACCATAGCTAGAAAAACATTTTAAATAAAAAAGCATAGATCACATTGTTGTTGTTGTTGTTAGGTGCTGTCAAGTTGAATATGACTTATAGCGACACTATGAACAAAAGATCTGAACCCTATTCTATCCTCCACCATCCTCACACTTCCTGACACAAATCATGACAGTCACTATGTCATTCCACCTGGTTGAGGGTCTTCCTCTCCTTTGCCGACCCTCCACCTTTCCCAGCATCATGTCTTTCTCCAAGGAAAAGCCCCTCCTAGCAACATGTCCAAAGTATGTGAAGCAAAGCCTCATCATTCTTGCCTCCAAAGAGCACTTCAGATGCACCCTCTCCAATACATATCTGTTTGTTCTCTTGACCATCAATGGGTTGTTCAATGCTCTTCTATAATACTACATCTCAAAGACATCAGTTATTTTTCTGTCATCCTTTATCATTGTCCAGCTCTCAGATAGATAGCAAGTAATCTGAAAGACCATGGCCTGAATCAAACATGCCTTAGTCCTCAAACTTACATCATTACTCCTCAGTAATTTGAAGAGGCTATTATAACGAAATGTACAGAGAGCTGGAATTCAAGAATAAAAAGGGAAGAACTTGCTCTGTATTTCTCAAGCTGAAAGAACTGAAAAACAAATTTAAGCCTCATGTCACAATATTAAAAAATGATTTGGGCAATAAATTATTACCTAGCATGGGAGGAACTGGAGAGTATTATGCTGAGTGAACTAACTCAGTCCCACAAGGACAAATATTGTATAAAACCATTATTGTAGAATTAGTGTAAGAATCCAAGGGGTGTGGGGGTGGGTGGAAGCAGAGAGATGAGGATATGCAGTGGCCGGGGGATTAATCATGGATTTGTACAATTTGATGGGGGGGGGGATGAGAAAAATTGGAAGATTTTGTTCTCAAAAACAATGTAGTCAAATTTTGTAAATAAACTAGTATATTTAAAAAGTCAACCTGAGGAGGGGAAAGGGAGGGAGTTTGGGTAAAATGTGCAACAATGAATGAATAAAAATCTAACTTGTGTAAGCTTTTGTTAAAATTACAATTAAAATTAAAAAAATTATTTAAAGAAAAGAAGAAGAAAATGGAAGGAGTACACAGAATCACTGTACCAGAAAGAATTGACACTAACAATTTTCAGGAAGTAATATATGATCAAGAGCCACTGGTAATGAAGGAGGAAGCAGAAGCTGCATTGAAGGTATTGGCAAAAAATAAGGCCCCAGCAATCGATGGGATACCAATTGACTCGTTTCAATTAACAGATGCACTCACCAGTCTAGGAAATTTGGAGGACAGCTGTCTGGCCAATGGATTGGAAAAGGTCCATATTTTTCCCCACTCAAGAAAAGTGATCCAACTGAATGTGGAAACTATCAAACAATATCATTAGTTATCACATGCAAGCAAAATACTGCTGAAGATTATTCAAAACCAGCTAGAACAGTATAAAGATAAGGAACTGTCAGAAGTTCAAGCAGGATAGATCACATTATTTAATTTAATTCACGGACACTTCAGTCTGTATTTCTAAAAACAGGGATGTTTTCTTAATAACCATAAAGCTATTTCACTTTCAGACTTCCTGAGTTGACTCAGAACTATCTTTTTATAGTTGTTTTGTTTTAATTAGGAACCCTAAAAATGGCAATTCATTGTTACATCTCTTATATCTCATTCAATCCTGCCTCTGTGTCTTGGCCCTGGACTTCCCCGAGTCCCTCCCAAGGCTGGCCGAGTGTTGGCCTCCGGCAGGGCCAACTCAAAGCCTCACCAGTCCTCTGTGCTCCTCCAGCACAGGCCCTCAGCCGGGCTTGAGTTTGGAGAGTTTCATGATTAAAGGCTCCTTGCAAGCTCTTTTCCGTCCTGGTCACATTTCCCTTGGCCAAGGCTCTTGATAGAGAAGTTCTCCTAGCAGGAATGAGCTCTCAGGGTATCAGTCCAATAACAGGAGTTCTTCCTGTCCTCAGCCGGGAGGCCCTGGAAGCACAGCAAGCCCAAGCCCAGGACCCCAGGCAGAGCTGGGCAATATTTAAATGGAGAGTCCTCTCTCACAGAGATGTCCCCTCATCCTCTTATTAAACTCCACTTCATTTTTAAATATAAGGGGCTGGGCAGTCCCACATAATGGTATAATTATGCATCAATTTCTCTGCTGTCATAGGACTGAAGCTTTCTTTTCTTCCTGCAAACTGAGGTGACAGATACCCACTTAGCGGAGAGATTATTAGTATAAAATTACCTTTTGGCCTTTACATTTCATTATGCCATGCTCATAACAATAAAATAAAATCTTAAATCCAGGTGTGCCTTTCATGGAAAAGTGTCCAGAGCAATTACTGTCCGATAATGGTGGCCTGCAAGTAAGCCTTTTGTCTGGGGATCTTAGCATTTTTCCACCCAAGTAGGCAACGCGTTGCCTTTGTGAGGGGTGAGAAGTGAATTGTCTGACCTCTTGGCATGCTCCATGAGAAGACCAGAATGCAGGTGTTTGCTTTGTTTTTCCTTTCTCCTTCCCTTTTCAGCCCTTTAAAAGAAGCATGGACAACCTACTATTGGTTTCAATATCTCTGCTTTTTCTAACAGCATGAAATAAAAAAAGTTTCTATATCACATTTCACGCGGGGGAACAGGTGAGGTTCAGGAAGAGGGTAGTTTCCATGTGGGTGCCCACCTGCCAGGGAAATACCTGCCTTTTCCTGGAGCCT